CATTGTTTACGTACTGGCTGTGAATATTTCAACTTTGCCGACTTGATAATGCGTTGCCTTTGCAATAATTACGCAAACTTATTTTTTATACCCCTGTCGACACCTCGAGTCAGGCTGCTATCACCCTTTCTATTTCAGTAATTGACGGTCTGTAGGTGTTAAGTTGTCACCTCCAACTGATTGAGCGGGCAATTAAATACGCGATAATACCAGACTTAGTTTTTCTACTTTAAAACTGACGGCAAAACACAATACAATCGTCCGGAGCCATCGAACTACGCGACTTAATCGAAACCGCGACTTAACTGCCTCAGAGACGGGGCCACTGAATAACTGTTGTTGATAATGATATTGTAAACAAACAAACACGCACACACAAAACATTAAAGCCAGACAAGTCAAGTCAAGAAACAACATTTCAAATAATAATAATTATGGTTTGACATCTATATCATTTTGAAATAAACTAAATTTCATGTAAATAAAATCCATGCGTTACAATTTACTGTAATTTCAAACTCGGGGCAGCGTACTTTGAACGCAGAGTATTCGATGGCTTACATTTCGAGTGAAAAAACAAAAAAAACAACGTCAGGTGCTTTTGAACTACGTGCGGTTGGCACAGTAACGGGCAATGACCTCAGCAGTTCACACGCAATGAAATTCTAATCGAGCCAGCTAGCGTTATCGTACGGTATCATAAACTCAATAATTATTCATTCAAAATGCCTTTCACACTCACGAGTACCATGGAACACGAACATGTAACAGAAAAATAACGTATTTTGTTTAAAAAAGATTCTGTCAACCAAGAATACATGCGCAAGGCAAGATTTATGAAACGAAACAGAAAATAATCATGTCATTGTCAGTGTTTGCTGGCCATTTTTTCTGGAGTGTGACACAAATGGTGAACATGATACTGCCAAATCAATCAAGAACCAGGATACGGCTTGGATACGCTGAAACTTTGTAAATCGTCTTCTTTTCAATTGTAAACTTTATTCCAGTGTAATAAAGGTATACCTACATGTACCATGAAAAATTGTATCGCATCACTTTGGAAATTTACGCTAAATACATGTACTAAATACTAAACAAGCGCACATATCGTATTCATTTACAGCATCGGATTTTAAAACAATGACTCGTGGAATCACAAAGAAACTGTTAAGTACGTATTTCACACATTACCGAGGACCGCGGTTGTGACCGGTACAGCGGTAGAGACCCCTAATTATAAGCAGTATGCGGCTCTCCCCGGCGTTCTGCGGTACACCGCGGTAATGACCGCGGTTCACCGCCCGTTTGATTTCCTACTCTTCCCTAAAATGGAAAATCTGTTGTGTATCAGTTTTGCTCTATCAAAAGTACATCTCTAATAGAAGTGCACAAAAATGAGTGCTTTTCTGATCATTAAATGCCGTTAATTAAATGCATGCTGCTACTATTTGAGCAAAGATGTGTAATCATATTAAAAAAGAAATGCTCTTCTTAATTAGAGCAAATACAATATTGGGATTAGCACTGTCGTGTAGCGACAACAGAAACTGCACTCGCATGCCATTGACAGTTTATTTGTGTTTTGTTCACAGAAGGAACCTTTGCTACGGATTCCATGATTAGCAGTAAAGTAAATGGACAAGTAACAGAACGTGATCTGACTCCCTGGGTGGGCGAAGTGCAAAGTGAGGAGGGCTCACTGGAAAATGAAGCTGTAAGTCTGGGCCACATGAATATGTACATTGCATGGCGAATTCTATACGTGTATAGAGTTGTGATTGTTTTCCGGTGCTTTTGTCGCTGTAGCTGCTGTTGACATGATATCTAGTAATAGTCAGATCAGATATGGATTCTTTATAATCTGTACATATTGAATACTATATTTACATTTGTCTATTTCTGGTTGTCTCAAGGCTATGGTCGCACAGGAGTTTTGCTCATCAGTTGGAAGAGATAATATTTTTACAGCTGCGCATGTGTGTGTGTGTGTGTGTTTGTGTTTGTTTGTGTTTGTTTGTTTGTGTTTGCTCTCTTAAATGTAATCATTGTGCAGTTGGGGTGGGTGGGGTAGGGTTGTTGCTACTACGGTATATCATTTTTGATGTACCAGTGTTCTAACCAGACACTGCTCAGTTGGTCTTAATCCAACAATGGATTAATCGACACAGATGGTAGACTAGCTTTACATGGATGGGTACCTGTTGACAATGACAATGCTGACTTTGAACTAGGCCAAGGTTAATTATTATTCTTTATATACACCTGCAAAACTCATTCATCATTATCATATCATTTTGTGCACTGGTATCATTTTTTTTTTCACTTTGATTTTTTATCGCAGTCCAACGGCTGGGACGTCAATGATATGTTACGCACTAATGCTGAGAAGTTTAACGTCACTAGCACATTTGACGAGGATATGGGACAGTACACCACAAGGCTGGAGAAGAAAGACACAAAGGAATACAAAGACAGGGAGGAGTCTGCTCAGAAACTAGCCAATGAAATAGAATCTAGTCCGTCGTACAAGCAGAGGCTTCAAAAAGAGGTAGAAGACGGCACGGAAGAGGATAAATACAGTGCTGTACAACGACCTGGATTTGACAGCATGAATAATCGAAGTAATACTCCACCAATGCACGGAGGAGGTGGTGGTCCTGGAGGCCAAAGGTGAGATTTAGATAGTTTAAGAACATGTGGTATCCAAGGCTTTATTGAGACACGTTTTGTAATTCTCTGAATTCATCTAAATATGTATTATCTGCAGAATCATTTTCACATGTTTAGTAACATGAGTCATGAACCAAAATGAGTTGTCACGGTGTTCTCGAAATATGTTCTGATTTATGTTTTATTTGGACAAAGTAAAATCAAGAGACTGCTTGCGACAAGAAGGGGTTCAAATTGTGGTCAAGACCGAATTACAAATTGTTCATACTAAAATCCTGATGTGGAAAAATTGATTACCGTGTTTTAGTTCACTTAGTGTAACAAGATTACTCAAGCGCCTGTCTTCTCATCCAAAATGAGTCCCCCCAACTCACCTTAAAATTTGTTTTCCACTGCAAAATTGTATATGGAAGCTAACCAGATTCCATGTGCAATCTTGTGTTAGGAGATATCAATTGCATCTCCTAACATTTATATTCATTTATAACATAGTGTACGCTTCGTTTCTAGGTATGTTCCACCACAAATGCGGAATCGTGATATGGCGCACAGTCCTCGTGTGTCAACCTCCCCACAAGATGTTCGTGTGGCAGGGTATGGCTCATCTCACGGCCCTCCTCGTGGGGGTTCTCACGGATCTCCTCATGATCCTCGTAGCTCATATACACCAAGACGACCAATGCAGCCAGGTGTGAGGCAACCGTCTGCACCCAGAGAATCTCATTCTGTTAAAGAAAATGTACATACTAATCTTAACGGTGGAGGTAAGTGTATTTCTCTACTCTGACTTGAAAATCTCTCATCTTCATTTATTTGTAAGTACCTTATTTGTAAGTTTTCTTATGCTGATCGTTTTGAGACTAAAACATGTGAGCTTATATGGTGACCTGATAGTTGTAGGTTTGACTTCTGTGGTTGACACTTGGCCTGTCTTGTGTGTTGTTTCTGTTCTCAGTGCAAAATACTCAATCACAGTGTCTGTTTTGTAATCATAATTATTCGGGCCCCTTTTAAATAAATATCCCTTCACTAATTGTGTAATAATTGTGTAAACTCGTTTTTTTCCTACAGTTGAAAGGGGTGACAGAAAACCACCTGAAGTTGGTGCACCCGCACCGCCATCAGCATACCAAGACAGGAGAAAACTTAGTGATGTTGTTAGAGGAGCGCCACCCGATCCAAAACCTCCCAGTCAGCCAGCACAAAATGTCGCCAACAATAGTAGTAGTATTAGTAACAGTCCAACTGTAGCTGCCTCTACACCAAATCCTGACCAACCTCAGCAACTGCCGTTGACATCCCCGCCACAACAAGATAGTAATAGTTCTGTAGTTAGCCCAGTTGAAAAGAAACCAACTGCTCATGGTAAGCCAAAATGTAAGTCTGTTAGCTTATGGAATTAATGGGAACAGGCTTGTTTCCAACCCCATAAAATACATCACAGTATGCAAATTTCTGTTTGTGAACCGAAAATTAAGAATTTAGCAGTTCCGTTAATTTAAGGTTACTTCGCACACAGCTGTTCATGAAATATTGGGCCGCTAATTGTGGTGGCTAATCACCAAATGAAACATAATTTTGTCAAACAGCAATGGCCCCGATGTGAACAAAGTTTAAGCTAACAGAAGTCAGTGAAATGTTTTCTGAGCATAATACAAACTGGTAGTGTTTTTTATGAATGCCTGTATACTTGGATGCTATTTGATAAATCCATGATGTCTATGAATATGATAGTAACTAATCGTCACATGTATGCGTTGTTTTCCAGCTCGTAATGGTCTTGAAGATTTGAAGAAATTTAGTTCACAATTTATAGTAAGTTTGAAATTTATTGTTCAACAAAACAGACATTAGTTATTTATTCCAAAACTATGTTCATTTAATTTAACATCTCCATTTCACATTCCTAAATATAGTAACTGGATTTTGACTAAAAATATGCAAATACATGTAAGTGCCCCTTAGAAGTGAATTTTACACTATGTTTATTATGCCTATTATCTAAAAGATCAGATTTATTAGGCCAGACTTTTATTATCCCTTGTTTCGTGAACCCGCCGAATGAACAGAAGCCAAAAATAAAATAAAAATATAATTTTATTTCAGCGTAATTCTCGCGCACGCCGACTTGTGAGCGCAAAAAAATATTATTTTTATCTGCATTTTCGTGGGAGAATCGTGATCAAAGTCTGGCCTTACCAAAAAGAGTAGAAGAATAATAATTTTAACAGTTTTCATATTTCAAAAACCACTTGTTTGTGAGGAATTTGTCACGTTTCAAGTTTTCCCATGGGCTTAAAAAATATGCAGAGCATTATATTGCAACACCAATAGTAAAAAATTGATTTTGAAAGTGGTTGGTATGGAAACTAGCCTAATATTGCAATTAATATGGGCAATCAATAAAATCTACCTGTATAATAACAAAATGTATGGTAATTTTGAAATGATTTCATTTCCACTGATTCATTTCTTCAGTGAAAATAGCGAAATGAATTCTAAGTGAAAATTGACAGTACCGCACTTCCCCGAGTATAAGCCCACCCCTCTGTTTTTAGACATTTTACGAGTTGAGGCATCCCCGAGTATAGGCCCAGGGTGTTTTTACTGGACGTCGACGACATTTATTATAATATGCATGTAATAAGTGTATTTCATTGCATAAAAATCATGATTGGTACAGTAGTTTGGTTGCAGCTTTTACGAGAAAATTCTTTAATTTCATAGTGCATGGCGAACGTATGGAACATAGTCAGCACCTTTTCTATTCTGTTATTTACTCGGGATGAACTCCGATGTTTCAATACTGAAATAATCAATATTTTTTTTGAGTAGTAGTCGAGCAAACTATTCTTTGACATGACTTGTTGACGGCCGTGAAAGATTTAAGTACTTCCCCCACCCTCAGTTTACCTTTCGAAAATTGTGAATCAACAGCTTTTAAGAAATATATCGCTTTTTTTATCGAAATCAGTGTTAACAGATCGAATTTTAACATCGCTGTAATTCACTTCCGCATTGCGTTGAAAAAATTACTTCGACTGAAAGACGTGACCTGTTAGGTCGAATGAAGTTGTTCAGGTCAAATCATGATGAGAAACACCATTACGGAAATAGCTTTGTATCGAGAGTTTGTACAACGAAGATAATGATAAAGATCTTGCCTTCGACCGTTTTCCCACAGATCCTACCCATTTTTGCACTGTAAATTCAGACGGTATGTAAACCGTATTGTAATAAAATGTGTGTATTTTTATGAACATGTTTGTTTCTTCATTGTAAAAATTGTCGTGGAAATCATGACTACTCGTATTTGTTTCTCAAAAAGACGTAATATTTCTCAGAGACCGGCGCTGTGAACAAAAAAATGTAGTTTGGATAATTTTTCGAGGTTGGGAAGATGGTCACAATTTTAAACCCACCAAAAAATATTTTGTTTAAGGTGGACCTCGAGTATAAGCCCACCCCCTAATTTTACATGTTCAGGCCTAGGCTTATACTCGGGGAAGTACGATAGTACATTTGATAGGTGTAAATCTTGTCTCTCCGTCTTCGATTAAAAAGTTAATTTTTCTCTTTTTGCTCCAGTTACAAGGTGAGAAAGGTAGAGAGGTAGAAAAAGACGCTGCAAAAGACAATCCAGAATGCAAGCCCACTCCTGATACAAGTAGCCCAACTACTGTTGCCACAGAGACGACTGCAACTACGACAAAGGAGACTTGTACGAGTACTACCCCAACACCAACTAGTAATCCTGACGAAAATCAAAAACCTGATGAGTAAGTCTAATTTCGCACAATCGTAAGTTTATCATGGAACTGCCAGTGTTGTATATACCGTATTAGCTCTGCATCGGTTTGTTAGGTCAGTATTTTGAAATTGATAATAAGACTCATTTTAGATTGGTATATTTCCAATCTGATTGATGTATCCAGTGTAAATTGCCTTTTAATTATGATCACCAGTGCACGTTACTTCAAAATACATTAATTGTTAATCAATAAAGTGAATAAATTCACTTTTTCTTTGTTTTTCTTGACACGGATTAAGAATTTATTTATTTTTTCATTACAGCCCCCCTAAGAAGTCTACCCTTAATCCAAATGCTAAAGAGTTCAAGTTTAATCCACAAGCAAAGCCGTTTGCCCCTGTAAGTATTCTTTCGCTGCTTTCACGTTTTGGCTGCTATTAAGACATTACTCACTTGATTCTAATGACTGCCACTAGAGGGTGTCCTAACACACACTGTATTAGACATGTGTCGCAAAGACCATCCCCCCATCATTCATGTGCCGTATTACCCCGGGCACGCGCCCCTCCCCGGGCAAGCGCCCTACCCTTGATTTCACAAAAGTTAAATGTTGGGGACATCCTCGGTTAAACGCCCAGGGTGATTCTTTAGCCAAGAACGGGGTCAACAATAAAGTTTTATTTGTCAAAAACGAACGCGTTTGATTTATTTAAATAGTGTGTTTGTCACGGCAGTTCTCTTTTTGGAGTGTGTGGTGGCCCTGAAAAGGGCCGTTTTGTTTGTGTTTTTACGTAAAAACTCAATGGAGCTTAACAGCGTAAGATGAACCACGCAGCATGTGGCGCATACGTTCTGCTTTCTCTTCATTCACGATGAATCCAATATTGCAATAATCCATACTTTGGTGAGTGGTTTGAAGCACTTAGCTTTGGTTTCAAAACGTAGCACTTCGCTGACTGTGAATCCATAACAGGAGCACATTCCAGAGGGGGTGAAACGGAAGAGCCAAACTTAACGCGTAAAAATAGAACGCGTATTTTGACCTCTATGTGGCCAACCAATGGCTTGACACGATACGTTTGCGGTCGTTGCTAAAGAGCCCCGCATCCATCGCCTCGTGATGCTCTTCCGTTTCACCCCCTTCGGAATGTTCTACTTTCGCAGCCTAATCGCAGGTTTTTCGAAAAACGTCAAAAAACACAAGAATTAGTAGAAATGTTCCTATTTTGGGCGGATTATTGATAGAAAATAATGTCTTTATTACAAAAATGCTGAAAAACTGAGTTTTTGCCTTAGTTTTTTTTTTATCGGGGAAATACTGCGAACTCGGCAAATTTTTTTGCACAACTTCCCTCCATCATATACACCCAGCGACACCTATGCCAGCTGACTGTGAACGGGAGCTAGCACTTTTGAGACATCACGTCGTAAACTTGCTACTTTCTTTCCATCCTTCATCACAACTATGGCATTACGGTCATGTGGATTATTTTTCTGTCGTTGAAGAAAAAACATTTTGCCGACCTCAAGTCCATTATGATAACCATAATGAGACATGCCGACGGTGGGTGAACTTGTTGCATCAGAATTTTGTCATGTGTGTGGGTTCGTGAATAAATCATGTTAATGACGTCGACCAGAGTTTATTTTCAGTCTGTTTTTTATGTATCGCCATTTGGATATGTTTATGTATTCATAATAGTTTGTAAACATTTCACATCAGTAATAAAAGGTTTATTTGTTTCATAACCCTGTCTGCTATTCTTCAGTAATTATGATGCGATGTATCAATAAATTATGTTAATGAGGTCATCACCATCTTGGATTAAGCGGTAGTTTTTCCCGGCCGTTTCGACTTGCACTGATCACGGTTACTAAAAAAGTAACCGTGCATTGATTACAATACTTACCATACTTTGTAGCCAATTTCAGTGCCTAATACAACTTCATTCGCTGACATAAAACAAGTTTTATTCTTGAAATTCAACCCTGTGTCGACCTTAGTGTTCCCACAGTTCTTGACAGAGTGCTCACGTTTATTGAAACCTCGCATAAATCAAGAAATAAGTACGTGTACAAAGTGTACGAAAGCATTCCTTTATTTGACCTTATCATACGATCACAAAAACAACTTTTTTAAATCTTTTTTGGGATGGTCCTCGGGTAAGCGCCCACCCCCAATTTTTCCCGATTTTGTATGTTCAGGCCCCTGGGCGCGTGCCTGGTGTAATACGGTACTAGTATGTTAGATAACAAATGAGTGAAATTCTTCCATGATGGCTTGTACTCTGTAACTTTGTAAATTTGTTTGTGTTTTGGGGATGAGGTTTTTTTAACTTTTGTATATAATGTGTGCTTTTCAATAGAAGGCTAGTGTGCCGAAGACACCAACTCCTCCGAGACAACAGCAGCCCAGTCCTGTTATAATGCCACCCCAGGCTGTCATGCAAGTTCCACATTCGATGTCTTACACTGGACAGCCTGTGATTTCCAACATACAGGGTTCATATGTCGTGGCTTCACCGCACACTCAGATGCAACACATGATTGGGTCAGGTGGAGTGCCTCAGGTGCCACAAAAAGCTGCCTACCCTCAAAAAAGAGGTGAGATTTTTACTATCAGTATTTGAGATAAAGTGTCTGTCTCTGAAACCAAAATCATTTTATTGTATTTCACATACAAGATAAATCATGATGTACTCTGTGCTAACCCCTTTTCCACTTTGCTGATCTGATAAATTCTGAAAACTCTGGAACACTTGTATTACTCTTGCTGCAGTTAGTTTTGTAAATGAATAATTGTAAAATATAGAAATTAATAGAAATATTTTAAAATTTGCTTAAATATTAACTGTTCAACTTTAGATATAACTACCATAAACACTTCTGAAAAAAAATAGTTTTAAAAAAACAGTAAATGTTTTAAAATACAAAATTATTACAAAATACAAATTAAATATCGATGATTACAAAAACATTTGTTGTCAGAAAGCAACATGTTCATCAAAACACAATTACTTGAACCAAAACCACGCCCAGACCAAAATTTATAAAAATGACTTTACCATGTCAAGTTGCGTTTGTATAAATCACACTCCAATCAGAAACGAACTCAGCAATTATCGGACTCACAAATAACTGATTCATTGTTTTTTACTTTCGCCAGCTCCCATGATGCCACAACAGCGCCCACAGCCACCTCATGTGGACATTAGTCAAAGTGGGCACATTATGCCAGCATCTGCAGCGGCTGGACAGCCTATAATGGCACCCATGCACTATTCCCAGGCGCAGTTTGTGCATTATCCCACGCAACACACCCAAGCGATGATGGGACAGCATGTTATGCAACAACCAGTCCACTATCAACATATGACGCAGTACCCTCAAAAGGTAACTTGTTTTTTTCTCTCAGTTTTATCTTTCTATCTAAACCTTTTTTAACACCAGACTTTCATGCCCCAATTTGTGTGCATTCTTTTCTTATATTCTTCAACATTTCTGGAAATGAATCTTAATTTTGAAGCCAACAGACAAATTTTGAGTAAATTTTAAGTTTATAGTCCCAGTTCAGGCGCAGGTCTTTTTCAACATTTTCATCCAAAACTACCTCTCCCTACAGCACTGACAAAGCAACTGAGCATGCTCAGAATAAATAATTAGCTTAGATTTTAATGCTCAGGTTTTTAGTGATGTCATGACCTTGATCTGAATCAGTGACAGATGGTTTGTACCATTACCAATCTCAGTGGAAAATATTGAGGGGTGTCGGGGCTACATTTTGATGGGAATTATAGTGGTGATAATGAAACAAACCCAGGTCCTGGTAATATTACAAAGACCTGAATTAACAAAGAAGGCAAGTTGTTATTAAAGGTACATCAAGGTTTACTCAGATTTATGAATGCAGTTTCTTGAGCATGTATGAGACGTAGTTTGTTTGCACTTGTCTACTCTGCAATTTTGGACCCGAGTCAATGAAAAGTACATATTAATTCAATTGTTTGCAGTTGTTCAATGTATTATTTTAACATGAGTATTTTATAATTAAATAATGGGGACTGTGACATTCATGTATTGTTACTTAAAACATTTGGCTATTTTTGTCCTAATCTTCTGAAGGAAAGTACGCACTATAAACATGACTATTTTGTAAATTTGTGATGAAAAGAGGGAATTGGTGGTGAAAAGGTTATTTAAACATTAAACATAAATTCTCAAGGGGGGGTTTGTTCAACAAATTATGCGCAGTGACACTCCTTGTAAATACCTAATGAGGTGTATGCTTCTCATTTGCATTTCTAGCCTATGTACAGAATACAGGGTGCCTTGCAGAGTTCTCCTCATCCTCAAGCTCAGCATACCTATCAAATGTCGCCACAAGATGTACAGGCATCAGCAACCCACGTATTGAGTAAGTTGAACCAATATTTGTCCTGGGTCGATAGTGCCCTGGGAAGGTGACTCAGCTTTTGTTTCATGATAAATTTTCCTTGAATATAATAGACGAATATTATAATGATATATTGAACTGATGGACATCTTTTTAGCGGCATTTGCATATATATTGTTACTCTGATGGAATACTTTAATCATAGAATTGAACAAACATTCAAATAAAACTGTTCCTATTTTCACGAGAATTCAACGTCATTTCTGAAATTTCTTGTTATTGACTCGTATTACCTTGTTGTATTTCCAGTGTGCCCTTCTATTTACTACTGTCATTTTTTCCAGTGTCTCCTCAAGGCCCGACGATACCTCAGCCCATGCCACATCCCCAAGCACAGCATCAGCACCAAGCCCATCAACAGCAGCACCCTCAGCCACAGCCACACATGCATCACGGCCATGTTCAGCAGCCTCACACCCCTCCCTTACAGGGTCAGCAACAAGGTCAGACGCAGCAGCAGACCCAGATGGCTGGACAACAACAGCTGCAGCAGCAGCAACACGTGCATCAAGCACCGAGCCCAGTCCACCAAGTACCCCATTCAGGACAGCCACCAACTCAGAACACGCATATACCCCAACAGCCCTCTCATCAGATCATCTACCAGAACCCGCACCAGATGCCCCCACAGCCTTTGGCTCAGTCCCCGCAAGGCATGCACGCACAACCCCAGCCGACACTCTCACAAGCACAAGCACAACCTCACCAAATGCAACAGGTTCCTGTAGTGTCTCATCCCCCCAACCCTCACATCACTACTGTCACTCCGGTTCACCCACATCCTTACCCTCACACGCACCAGCAGCCTCCTCCCATGCAGCAGCAACAGCCGGTGATGGTGATTCCCCAGGCCCCCCACCCTCACGGGTCACAGGCTGCTGCAACTGCTGCCGCTCATGCTGGTGGCACTGCAGGTGTTGTAGTATCTAATGCTCCAGCTGCCATGTCTGCTCCTTACTTGCAAGGTGAGTTTTTATTTTTCATTGATGTATTTTGAAAATAATAATACCTGGTTTTCTCTGTGCTGGCAACAAATTCATGGACATTTGACCAATTAACGTTGTTAAGTTTGGTCCAATTGATTTTATCTCCTTACTAGAGGTCAGCATGATATTTACTTGTCAATTAGTCGTGTCAAGTTCAAATGTCAGCTACTGCCAATCCCCATCCCTCTCTCTCACTTTCTTCTCTTGTTCATGCATTGTTCACCAATATGTCGATACGTAAAATTTAGCATTTGGGTGATCATGGAAACGTAACACTGCAAGCCAATACAGTCAAGTGATTGGTACATATGTATTTTTTTTTTCTGTTTATTCTATTTTTCCAGTCGATGGTAAGGTTATGGTGCTAACGGAAAGCAATGCTTATTACAGTGCTGCACCACAACGAATGAATTCTCCAGGTGAAAAAAAAAACACGATGAATTTCACTTTGAGCTCATTTTAACCATAGATTCACCATTTTTTGTCTTGCTGTTATCACACGTAGACTGTAGTTGTCTAATCTTGGGTAGTAGCTTGGAGATACATTTAGTAAATTCTTGTTCATGTTATTCTAACTTCTACTAATCTTTGGGTTTGCTTGGTATGAAGGAGTGATGGTGATTTATTGCCTGTATTTGCTACAACACACACACCTTTTCTATGTTGCTATATCTTGATTTGATTACTATGAGACATTTCTAGCTTGTATCTTATGATCTTTAAAGCACATGAGCAACCTGGCTAGTGTCAAACTTCAAATTCTACTTCCCAGACTCCCCAAATAGTAGACAGTAGGGCCCAATTTCATAGTACATGGGCAAGACAAGCTCCAATTCAGGGTAAATGAATTGTCAGTTCTTATTGGGATTTGCTGAAAAGAAATGGCAATCCCTGGTAGTGAATGTTGTATTCATCAATTTGACCCCTTCCCTTGTATTAGTCGAAAGTTTTGTTTTATTTGCAATGAACATATGTAAATTCAGTGAGACCTGTCTGACACACTTGAAACCAGAAACCTGTTCACCATATTTCCAGTCTCCATTGAACTCGTTTGTTATGGAAAACCCTTACTGTCACAGCCATATTATTTTGAACAACAAAACAGTGCCATTGCCAGCTCAGTTGCTGACTGGTATGCTATGATCACTTGGAGATCACTTTTCTGCGTGTCATAATGCTCATAAATTAGCGCATTTAGCCGAACGACACACCCTCATAAAAGTGGTGAGAACTAACCTTTTCTAATGATATAACAATCTTGGGACTCATAAAGCAAGCCAGTCGACAACTTTGCTGTTTTGTTGTTTGGAGCAATGTGCCGATAAGAGTAAGCCAAACTCGTTTGTAATAGTGTTCTCAGTCTTGGTTTTCAGTTTAATCAGGTTTCACTGCAAAGTGGACAAGAGAGACTAAACGCTATTTGAGGGTCTAGAACTTGTGAGTCTCTCGCTCAAAATATCTTGGCGGCTGTTTGCGTCTTAAATTCTATTGGTGATTTGACATAAGTGCTGTCATTCTCTATAGATGTTTAGTGTCTAAAGAAGTTTGTCATTGGCTAGGAAAAACATTGTTGTATTAGCAGCCATTGCTAAAACTATTTTAAACCGACAATAATGTAATTCTCTACGTTGAGGCTTTTCTAGCATTCTTGGGACTTCTCTAAAAAATTAAACAGCTAAATGTTTTTAATGGCTGAACAATCTACCTACTGTTATCGAATTCTGTACAAGTACAAGAAGAGAATTTCACTAAATTTCGCAAAATGTTATCCACTTCACTCTCTCACTCAATATTGTGTTAACTTACTGCATTGATCATTGCACGTTGATAAGGTCGCTTTGGTGGTTGATGCTTGTTTCCACTAATAACACACTTTATTACTACATTGTTGTCTTGGAATGGATTTCATTGGCTGCTCAGTTTTTTGTATACGACCAGACACTTATTGGAAATTGGTATACATAGTGCTGAATAAACTTGACCATTGTTGTAATTTTCATTGGTTTCTATAGTTACTTGTTTTCCCAACAAATTTCTGATTCCAAGATGGTCAAAGCCATGGTACACGAAAAACTGGGCAACACTTATTCCCTTCACTGGATTTTACGTCACTGCTTTCGTTCTTGTGTATTACAATAATGTCACAGACACATCCTTCCATGTACATGTATTATGTTTTTAGTATTACTGCATTCATGGTTCTTCATGACTGTGCAGCTTGTCACTACACTCTATTTGGTTCATCCCAGTGTTGAATCTCGGTATATTATGATGTTATCTTGGGGACATGAAGTGTATGTACAAAGATGACATAGTGAGAGGCTACTGTTCAATTTCTGGCGGAGGTCGAAGCCACTGCATACTTTGCGGTGTTCTCTCATAATAACCTTGAGTGTTCTCCCCAGGATAACGACAGCATGAGAGAGACCACTATGCTTGAATGACACCATCAGGCTGAAAATCATTACGGCCATGCTTGATTTCTGCACCCCTTTCTGTATTGTCTATGATTTCCACAGCTATTGTTCTATTGTACTCGTGCTAGCTGTATCCTAGAACAGCTAAATGTTGATATATATTAGTATAGATAACACCTTATTAACATGCGATTTCGTAGCTCCTTGATATCAATCATCACTGTGGTGTTATCTGTTAATCAATGGCAACCCCCAAACATTATATTAATTTATTTACATATTCATTTATTGGCCAACCATTTTTAGATCATGGATAAGGCGAATTAACTCAAAATTAAAAAAAAAATAAAAATTGAAAACAGTTCCAAGTTTCCAGAGTACTCCGGAGGGACATAGTTTGTCACCATTGCAAAGATTGTAAAGTAGGCTTCAATTTAAACTACAACATAAGTGGGCCAATTTGGTGCAACTTTGCGAATACAGCAGTTGAAATAACCTACGGAAAAACAACATGTCTTATGGTACTGATAAATCGGCTGATTTTGAAAATTCAAACCTGAATAACATTGGCATTCTTTCTAGATGCATTGTGCCAGTAAAACACTGCATAGCAACCGAGAAAAAAAAAGACCCGTCCATGGTTATGAGGACAGTGAACGTCAGAGTCGGAAATGATCATGGGTAAAGAAAAGATAAGAGGATTAACTCGACTAGAAACAAAGGAAATTTAACGAGCTTAAACCAGTTGTGACCCCTTCTGTCTTTTACCTCCATGCTTAGATATACCAGTGCAACACTATCAGATGGTCGACTCAGCTATACTGAAACACACTACATTTTGTACATTGCATGATAAATAACATTGGTTTTAAAAACGACCACTTTACAAACAATATATGAATCACTCATTCATAGAATTATAAATGTAACACGTAAATCTGCCCACTGCGGTTTACACCTGTTGTTATTCTTTAATCGTGTAAGACAATACTGTAAACCACTTTAATTTTGAAAGAGACAAATGTTCAGGAATCTGGGACGATCCTGGATTTTGTAGTAATGACATTTTCTATGACGTGGAATGTCAGTAACTTTTGCGAAATTTTGTCTTGACGATTGCCATCATATTCTCAAATCGTGACAATTGTTTAAAATTAATTGTTTCATCCATGGTCTGTGTGTATTAGGGAAATTTCCAGGATCACTTAAGGCGTGTTGCTGAATCTGTTTGATACAGGCAGATAGATCTGCCTCACTTGCTAACGTCTTGTTAGGTCTGGATGGATACAATCTGCTAATACTCCTTACTCATTAGGGATTACTCAGAAACCATGTTACTTTCTTAAGTAGCATTCACTCTCTCCAACCTGTTTGGTCAAAACTCTGGACTCTTTTTTTTTGTTTTTCAGCTTGCTTTGTTTTTATTAACCGTATGCATTGTCTTGATTCGCAGGTCCTCCCACTCACCAGCAACAAGTGCATCCAACCTATCAGCAGGGCAATTAGAAAAATGATAGAGCATGAAAGGTGAGTGTTTATCTCTGTACTTTGCTAGATAATAAGTTTGCTTGGTTGCTTGAAAATGGCATTAACTGTGCCTAGAAATGATGCTAGTGATATCTCACCATGGTCAGTTATTGACTGTAAATTTGATTGGTTGAATGAAAGTGCCATCAACTATGCCTAGGTGTGATGCTAGTAATATCTCACCATGGTCAATTATTGACTGTAAATTTGATTGGTTGAATGAATGTGCCATCAACTATGCCTAGGTGTGATGCTAGTATAGTCTCACCATGGTCAGTTATTGACTGTAAATTTGATTGATTGAATGAAAGTGTCATCAACTATGCCTAGGTATGATGCTAGTAATATCTCACCATGGTCAGTTATTGACTGTAAATTTGATTGATTGAATGAAAGTGTCATCAACTATGCCTAGGTATGATGCTAGTAATATCTCACCATGGTCAGTTATTGACTGTAAATTTGATTGGTTGAATGAAAGTGCCATCAACTATGCCTTGGTGTGATGCTAGTAATATATCACCATGGTCAGTTATTGACTGTGAATTTGATTGGTTGAATGAAAATGCCATCAACTATGCCTAGGTAATACGCTAGTAATATCTCACCATGGTCAGTTATTGATTGTAAATTTGATTGGTTGAATGAAAGTAGCATTAACATAATCACAGGAGATCATGTGGTTATAGGGTAAGCATCATGTACATTATTGGAACTGTCCAGTAAGTATTTTATTTCTTGACACACAGCTGATAATAGTATGCTGTTTGGTAATAAGAAATTTATAATGAGTGTAATGCCACATTTATTCTAGCCTGGATGTTGTTATTGACCTTAACATATCTCTTTTTTCCTAGGAGGAAAAAAGAATGAAGTTCACATGAAGATTATGACAGACAAATTCAAGACTGACAAAAAAAAAATCTTCTAAAATATATTTAAAATTATGATTTGAACCCTGATTTCGCTGGTTTTCTGCTTCAACTGTAGGTGCTTGGTGTAGAAGTAGAATTAGGTTTCATTAGATTGTCTCCATAGTAACGGAAATAGACTCGCCATGTGAAGCTTTTAACGTTGTTGCAGCAAAGATATTGGAGAGAGCACAATGAAAGGGCCGACGTATTTATCAAGTCAAGTTAAAAAAAAAACATTGCGCAGGAATGTAAAAATGCATTCAAGTAAAACAATTTTTGTTGTGTGCAGTGCTACAGAAAATAGACGAAGCTTTCACCGCATCATGGATGAATAAATAGTAGGAAGCGCCCTGTCTATCGGATCATGTGCAAACAAAAAAATCATTTGGAAGTCTGCTGATACTTTCGTGTAATTTCTCTGCCGTGCATTGCCACTGACGTCAGCAATGGCTGAAAACCAGGCACGCTGGTTCTTGCTGTCTTTTTATTGGAGAGTTGTCCATCTCCGCGTCCTCTTCGTCATTGGGATTTAACTGCGACAAGGTCTTCTTTCCCAAGATTTGTAATTCTGCATAAGTAATTATAAACTCTGAAATCTTGGGAATGATTCTGATTTGTCTGCAGACATGCCACCAGATGAAGTCATGAAAAGCCGAATATCATGCCTTCGTGTCTTTTTTTTTTTTTTTTGTGTGGGGGAAAACAAAATCAGGCATATAGTGTGAACTGCCTGAAGTGCTCATTAGTAGTATGCGGAATAAAACAAAAGGACAAACATTTAATTTTACGGACGTTGAGTGTATGAGTCATCTTTGTGTGTTACTTCATAGATTATATCACCTTAAAACGCTGCCTGGCATGACTGGTGTATAGGTCATACGAACACCCCCCCCCCCCCCCACGAGTTTCTGTAATATTATTGATTTCATGTTTGGGATTCATGAAAAGCAATTGATTCACATATTGTTATATCAATTCTCAGTACCTCGATTACAAAATGCACAAGTCTTTGGAAGGTTTCCTCTGTGTTTTGCGCATTGCATCATGGGGGAAAAGGTTGACATTTGCATAACTCAAGCGAAAAACTGATCAACATTCTTTCGAGTGTGTTTTATCAGATATCAATTTGTAAGAGGTTGTCCAAAATATGTTGAAATATTTTAGGTAAGTGCAAATGTCAATCTTATTATAACTTTGAGTTCCACTCAGAGATAAAAATAAGCTAACCATAGTATTAAGACATAATGAAAGTTGCATATTAAGTTAACCAATTTTAAGTGGACAGAAAAATAAATGGGAGCGATCTGAACTTGGTCCCATGACTGAACCAACACATGAAAATAAAACAAATATATTTTCCTCAAAAAATAACTGTACATGAGCAAATAGATCCCCTTTCCAATTCTCGGCCAAATGAGGGTAGTACAATTTATATTTCTAACATTACTGGTATGTTTTGAGGTTTAATTATTGGCCAACCAGTATTCCATAAATTTTGATGAGTTGATGTGTTCCAGTGACGTGTAAAAATATACAACATAAGTTTAAATAGAGATGACACATTTAACGTCAAAAAGAATGGGAGACATGACTCTACTTCCATAATGGCTGAACTGACAGTTCATTGCATTTTATTTTGCCATTCAGTGCAAAACATTGTGTATTCAATGTACTGAGAATTCAATTTGTATTTCCTGATCAAATATTATGGGTTCTATCGGACATCATTGCGTGTAGCAGTGTATGGATCATAGCTGCTTGGATGCATAAATATGAAATTGGGCAATATATAGTAATTGATGTCCCAAGTAAATATTAAAAATAAGTAGACATTTCGGGCAATGGCTCTTCTTCACGAGCAATCTCAAGTTTGGTGAAGATGGCTCAAATAAGTATAAGCAGTTTATAGGAAAACTTGTAAATACAAAACGTATTCACTAAAAGATTCTACAGTTGAGCATATCTATACACACACGCTAAGTGGGCGAGCAAAGGGAATGAGTTAAATAGTTTAATTCTATGGTTCCAATGTGGAATAAAGTTTCCTCTATGCTTCTGAGCTGATTCTCCTTGACAACGTGTATACAAGAAATAGTTTTATGCCCCTTAGATTTAAAAAATAAAGTGAAACTAGAGAAAAATTATTTTCTCATGTAATGTGTGGCGGATTTTAAGCAAGACGATATTCTAGTCAAAGCACTGGGGAACCAAAGTACAAGTTGCTCACATTTAATTCATAGAAAAAACAGTTACGAAAGTGGTTTATGGTATTTCATCAAGTTGGAAGCCTATCCTTAGACCTACCGTAAAATCTGTATTAGAAGCCGCATTCCCTAATACAAGTCGCTCCCATGCTTTTTGAATAATGAACTGAAAATAAGGTAAGTAAAAAATAACATGGGAGGGGGGTGGGTGTAGCTCATTTAATTCTCTCTTCATGGCTGTATGACTAATCTTGTTGGGATGAAATGTTGAAAACCAGGGAAAGTGGTGAACAGTTGTAGTGGTAATACAATAGAAGTTTTGTATATATACAGTTTAGAGGAGTCACTAATGTTAAATGGAAGTCACTTAAAATCTGTTTCTGTGAACAGGTTATTTTACTCTGTTTAACCATACTTTCCTTGCACCAAATCGCTAGTAAGATATCGATTGAATACGCCATTAGAGGTAAATGTAATCAAATGTCGTACAAGAAATAAAACGTGTGGGCCGAAACCTAATATTTGTGTGTCCCTCTGCACACACCTATATCTTGGACATGCCTGGACCAAACCGCATTACCTTAAGTGGATGTGCCGCCCTCTGGATGTGTGTTTTTTCAGCCATCTGGTCTTAAATGGGATCCAACTATTTCAGGGATTTGGTCTAAAATGGGCTCTATAATGGCTCAATGTCAAATGGGCATGGGTCTAAAAAGGGGTTTATTCATCCAAATGTTTTTATGTTGTGCGTGTCCCTTTTAACATTTAATTGAGTTCAGTTATCTATAGTTTTGATGGAATGTACCCAGAATGCATGCATAATTGGTTTAATACAAAGTATGCGTATTATTAAGATAATTTAGGTATACTTTTAATATGCCAATACTGTACTTTGGTCTAAGATGGGGTCTGCATAACAACTGTTCGGTCTAAGATGGGGTATCCATTTTTGGTCTAAAATGGGCTCTGGGTTTTGCTGTGTGAGCTACACACCTATACCATATCTGCAGCCAGGACCCCCCCCCACGCATGTACATCGCGTGTTTCTGGGTAAATGTGATCGTATATTCGCTTTTATAGTCCAATTCGAGATGGCCATTTTAAAATTTGTGCAAACCCCACCATCACTTAATATATAATTTGCACCAGGCATTGACTGACAAACGTGAAAATAGTTCCGCTTTTAAAAAAAATACACCTCAAATATCAAAGCAATCAGCTTGTAGTGTTCAAGGAGAATTCAAAAATATCATTTTTTTTTTATTACAAAAATATTTGCCAAAAAGAGAATTGACGATATAGGCATGAAATCGATTAGAGGTCCATCAAGAAGTTGGAAATAGTATTTATCAAAAATTACAAAAATATCCACCAAAAATAGAAGAGGTCCACCCAAGGTACTTACATACTTAGTATCAGAGTACTTGAGCTGGAAGTTTTCAAGAATTCAAAAATGCAATTGTTGATTAACAAACAATCACAGATATAAACAGCTCAGCTGTTAGCTATGACAGGGATGATAACAAAAATGCATAAATTTATTTACCCAGTCAAACTTAAATTTGCTTTTTTAAATTTAATATTGTTTTGACCAGCGCAGGAATTTGTCTAGCCAGTGTTAAATAAAATATTCTATTCTAATATGAGATATCACTGATCCAGTAGAACAAGCGACCTGACGGTCGAAATAGCTCCGCTAGAACAAGTCAGTAAAGTGGCATTGTGGTTGTAATATTCATAGTCATTTAGAGAACTTTGCACTTGAGTTACAGTTGCTTGCAGTTGCAATTATTAACTTTTATAGTGTTCATAAGGATAGTGCATTTCATTGGACAAACATTGAGTGTGCAAAAACCCGAAATATATTCGAGAAAAAAAAAGTAGGTTTTTGAAAATTATGATCTTGTTTTTGAAATGTTATCCTTCCTAATAACGTTATACGCAAGTCCAAATGCTTTCATATTTCCAGCAAATGATACGTGGGGTGGTCCCTGTCAGATTTGTTAAATTGGTGTCAAAATATGCAAATTTGGTATTTTTACTTAACGGTTTCAGACTAGTTCTTAAAAGAACATTTTTTTTTACCAAAAATGACAAAAAATATTCACTAAAAATCCAAA